TGAACTCACATGCAGACCAACAAAGTCCATGCTCAGTAATCCAGGTATACAATCCAACATTTTTCAGTCAGGTCATCTGGACAGTTTCTTTTTTTGTTTGTGCTGAAACGTTTCGCCTTCGATACGGAAGTCTTCATCAGTCAAGGAAACACACAACAAAACCGATTCTTCCCCCAACAGCTTACTCCAAAGTGGAACAAACCAGTTCTGCTTGTGATAAGATGGTCTAAAAAACTGTCGCTGAACTGACTGAGGAAAAGAGATGACACCAAACACACAAAAGGAAATTTCTAGAATTGCACCGCTCGAGGTGGCTGCATGTTGGAGTAGCTCTGTCACTTTCATTCTGAGTTATTGCTTTTGAAAACTTTAATGTCTCTTATCCTGATGCATGCTCAATAATCCAGGTAGAAAAATCTAAAAAAGTTAAATCTGGTCCTCTGGACATTCAAAAAAAAAAAAAAAAAGCAAATCAACATCAATTTTTTTTGTTGATTTGCTTTGTTTTTTTTGTTTTTTTTAATGTCCAGAGGACCAGATTTAACTTTTTTAGATTTAATGTCTCTTGTTTTCTGGATGTAAATTGCTTTTTTCGGATGATTAATTCCTCTGGTATCAGGTGCTGTGCAGCTGGAAGGATTTTTACTAAAACCTTTTTACTTTTGGGCATTTGTTATGATGCATAACCATGGCAACAAGGTGTTTTTTTTTTATTACAACCAGGAGCAGCTGATTAACATCTCAAAAGCTCACATAGCTCAACTACAGCCCCAAATCTCAAATGAGTTAAAAAGGAGGCGCCATGGACGAATTCCCATCAACCTGGCAGTGGTGCTCAAGTAACTGACCGCCGAGATCCTGGAGCTGTTCCTGAAGCTGTCCGTGATGACGAGGAGCTTGGCAGACTACTGGGAGGAGTGACCATCGCTCAGGGTGGAATTCTGCCCAGGAGGACTGAGAGGCCCGCCGGATCTGACAACAAGCTGGATCCGGGTGGACGGATTGGTATCTGTGGTATCTTCGGATTCGCTGCAGAAGATCCTTCCTGCCCATATCTATCAGCATCTATAACTCTTGAATGAAACCAGGATGATGAGCTACGACAACACTTAATTTCCCTTTGGGATTAATAAAGTATTTTTGAATTGAATTGAATTGAATTGAACTGAACAAAACATAAAATAACAGACAATAAACAAGATAACCCAAAAGGAACAACCCCAACTGTCAGGACGAGAAACTACCAAAGTAAACAAATAAATAAAAAAAATAAAAAAATCGTAAATCACAGAACTGGACAATATAACTTTATTCAACATTTTGTTTGTTTGAAAACCAAAACCAGTCTGAGTTACTGATCAATTCAAAACCATTTCTTTAGTGATTGCTGGACTTCTTGTAAAAGTATAGACTCCCTCTGATGAAGGTCTTCTCCTTGTTGTTAGTGTTCTGGTACGGGTCCTGCATGTATCTGTCCACGGGTTTGAACGCGACCCGACTCCACAGACCCTCCTCCTCCATCAGCTGCAGCTCTCGGTCCAGATTCACCTGGAGTTCTTCTTCTGCTGCTCCGCTGTGTTTTCCTCTCGCCAAACAGAGGAACCCTCCTGCACACAAACACTTCTTTACACACTGGACTGAGTGGGCGCTGGAGGTCTCACAGGTCTGAGGATGAACAGATCTGGGTATTCGACTCTTGGCCCAGATGAACAAAAGCTCAGGTGCAGCCAGCCCTAAAACCAGTTGAGGCTGACACATTGTCCAGTTTTAAGACTGGGCTTAAGATTTTCCTTTTTGATAAATCCTATAGTTAGGGTTGACTTGTTATGCTGCTATAGGTCTAGACTACTGGAAGACAAATTGACCTCATTTCCTAAAGTGAATTGTTAAAACTGAATAGTTTTAATTTGATACTATTTCTATATTAGCATACTTGACCTGCAATTGTGTATCTGTTCATCCTTCCTGTTCCTGTCAAGCCCAGCAGGCGGAAGCAGATGCTTGTCCTGAGTCTGGTTCTGCTAAAGGTTTCCTCCTCATGAGGGTGTTTTTCCTTCCCACTGTCGCCTTCATGCTTGCTCAAGATGAGAGTTCTGTGTCGTTGTTAAATTCAAAGCAGTCTGCTCCTCAGATAAATAATGTTAAATTATTAGTTTTATATATGAATGTTTCTGCTCAGTGCCCTGAGACGACTTCTGTTGTGACTTGGCGCCGTAAATAAATTAAATTGAATTGAACAGGAACAATGCACAAGAACATCTGGAATAATATACAGGAACAGCTGTAACAATACACAGGAACATCTGGAAGAATGCACAAGTACGTCTGGAATGATGCACAGGAACATCTGGAATAATATACAGGAATAGCTGTAAGGAACATCTGGAACAGTAAACAGGAACATATGTCCCGGGTATGGACTGGAGATCCCACAGTCAAAGTGGGAGAAGCCATCAGGGGTGGTGGAGAATGGAAGGGCTAAGATACTGTGAGCCCAACGAACAGGTGACTGTTAACCAACCGGACCTTGTGGTGGTCGACAAGAGAAGAAGGCAGCGGGGCTAGATGGAGCAATCCCAAGAGACTGTAACATCAGGAAGAAGAAGCAGCTGCAGAAATACAGAGAGCTGAAAGAGGAAATACAGACGTGGAGAGTCGACGCTGCAGTAGTCCCAGTGATCATTGGAGCACATGGTGCTGTGACTCCCAACCTGGAAGAGTGGCTCCAACAGATCCCAGGGACAACCTCAGGGATCACTGTCCAGAAAAGAGCAGTCCTAGGAGCAGGTAGTAACCTTTCTTACAACCAGATGCAGCCACACACCAAAATGGAAGCCACTACCTCACCTAATTTCAAATTATCATCACCATCATCATCATCATCATCATCCATGCAGGTAAAACTGAGTGAAACTGCAGATGTTGTCATCACATTGCATGAGATAAAATTTGTAATGTTTGTGACAACAGAAGGGGCAGCATGGTGGCGCAACTGGTAGAGCTGCTGCCTCTCAGCGAACAGGTCCCTGGTTCAAACCCCGGTCCGGGGGCCTTTCTGGGTGGAGTTAGCATGTTCTCTCCGTGCATGCGTGGGTTTTCTCCGGGTACTCCGGTTTCCTCCCACAGACCAAAAACATGCATGTTAGTCTGATTGGTAACTCTAAATTGTCCCTAGGTGTTTGTCTCGTTTGTCTCCATGTGTCCCTGTGATGGACTGGAGACCTGTCCAGGGTGTACCCCGCCCCTCGCACAGTGATTGCTGGACATGGGCACCGGCGACCCCCGTGACCCAAAATGGAATAAGCGGGTAAAGAAAATGGATGGATGGATGGTGACGACAGAAGGCTCAGCCTGATTATCAGCTGTTTCTTCTGCTTTTAGATTTGTGAAGCTTCCTATCAACACAGGAAGTTGAAATGAGGAGAGTGAAATGTGAGCTGGACTACCAGAAAAGGAACAAAAGTAACCTTAGGTCCATCTCCTGCACAAATAAATTTAACTGTTGTGTAAAATATGAATTTTTTGTTCTTGTTTAATCCAATTATGAACACTGAAACATTTTACCTAAAATGAGAAGTTTTAATCATTTTATAGCTCGGTGGCAGATCAGAGGTCTGTATCAAAGTTTCCAGTCAGGTTTTATTTGGTTACTTTTAAAAAGATGATATGTAATGTTACGCTGACGACACCTGATCAGTTACTGAAGCTTGTCTGGAATCCATAAAAGCCTGAACGACACGTGATTTTACTTTTAGACTTCAAACAAACCTGACGCTTCGACTTCTAAACACGTCCGATTCATTTTCTTACCTGATGCTCACCTGGCAGGGACGAGGTGCTTTCTTGACCTGCAGACTACAAAGCATTTTTGGTGAAAAGTTTTAGTTTAAATTTTGAATCTGTGTAGCTGAACTTTTTTTTTTTTTTAATGCTCTACTTTTAACTTTTTTAATCTTTGATTCTTTTTATTCTAAGATTTATTGCTTTAACTGCTTCTGTTACTGGTGTTTCCATGGTTTCCTGGTTGGTTTGCGTTTAGTTTAGCTTCTTCTTTTTATGCTTTATTTTGTTATATTTGTCTTTAAATGTGGTTAATTTGTAAGTGCTGGTTTATTACTTCCTTTTTGTAACTCTGAAGCACCTGCGGTGGTTCCTCGTAATGATTTATATAATCATCTTTTTATTCCAGCATTGCATGATAAAACTGCAGACAGTTTAACGGGGCCTGCTGTTTATTCACTGCAGAAGCAGCAGACTGAAGGTCTTGGCTTGTTCTGACTCCAAGTCTTCTGCAGCGTGGTGACAGACATGGTCTTCATGGTTTTTAGTCGTAGTTGTTTTTAGAGAAGCTACACTTAACAAGACGAGGTCCGTTTTATTTAAAGGATGAAGTCAAAAGTTACTGTCAGACAAAGGAGGAAGTCATCGAGTGCACAGAGGATGTTTCACAATTTTTCCATCAGTCATCCTTTTTTAGCCTTGACTCACTTTTCTGATCGGAAGCAAAGAGACGAAGAGCTCAGAATGAGACTTTATGATGAAAAGATCCTCTGGAGCTTCATGCTCCTGCTGGCAGGTAACGCTCATCTTATATTTAATTTTACTTTACTCATTTACTGCATTTAGGTCGCAAAATCAGACATTTAAAACAGAGTGATGTCCTCCTGGACCAAATCTGCTGCAGGACCTAAAGTTGAAAAAAATGTTTGTTTTCAAATGTAATGATGTAACTGAGCTGAAATTTAATATTTCAACATGAGATGTTCTCTGTTCTCACTGTGTTCATGCCTGATAAGTAAAGAACAAAAGAAGTAAAGAAATAATCTAGTGCAGGAATCCTCTGAGGGATTTGGACTGCAGGGGTTTTACTTTCTGTGTGACACCGTGGATCAGCGGTGTTAGTTAGCTGCTTCTTGACTTTAATGCACAAAGTTTGAAAATGACTGGAATATAAATGTTTTTACGCAACAGAACTGGCAGGAAATGATGGAGTCATTTTACTTTGGACACGAAAGGATCTCTGTTGGTTTTTAGAAAAGCTTTAAAGAAAAATGCAACAAAGTTTCTGATCGAAACCTTTACAGCGTTTTTTTTTTTTTTTAAGTCTCAAATTTCCAGCGTTTATTTCTATTTTACAGATGTTCCAAAAAACAAAATGATAAATAAGGATAAGAAACAATAGGAAACATTTATTTAATTCACATCTGGTGTTGCCGAAGAAACTTGTGTAAATGGAAGTGTTTTTAATTTGAACATCTTCTTAAAGAGACATTTTCATTTGTAATAAAAATCCTTGAAAATTGTGTTAAGAATCTTTGATATTAAAGTTTTAATTAAAAACTTTCATGTTCGGCTGCCTTCAGGTCGAACATCTCTTGCAAATGGGATTTGTCTGGTTGAATTAAGGTAATAAATAAATATTTACATGTAAAGAAACTTAGTTGTCTTTTCTTGAGTTAACGTCTGTAAATCATGAATTAAGCAGCACGTCTTTAAAGTGTTTTGAAGAGACGTTCACACTTTTTGTTCAACCATGCCCAACTGTCAAAACATAGAAGATCAATAGCAAAATAAAGCATTTTGGTAAAAATTAGACATATAACAAAAAACTGTATTTATTTGCCATATTAAGCAAACTTTAATCAAACAATTGGATTTGTTTTATTCATTTTTTTTTTAACTGTGTAAAAAATTTTATGGTTTGTGATTTACTCAAGTCTGACAACATGGAAGTCTTAACAAAATAAACTTTCATACTGGAAGGTCAGCTTCTAATTCTTTCCTGTTTTAGGGTTAGAGTATTATCATTTGGTCGAAGACACAGATAAAAAAGTAAAACTGAAAACCAACCTACAGTCTAGACGACATCTTTTGGACTTCCTGAATCAGGCAATAAGATTTCATCAGCATCAGAGGATAAATACTCATTTGCAATGCATGATGGGAAAAACCTCCTTGTATATCAAAATCTAAACCCGACTGCTGTGAAGCACATAATGTTCCCACACCTGGTGGATGAGTTCAACCAAGTCATTCTCAGGTGTGGTCCTTTAAAACAGATAAGTTAGAAGTTTTTCACAGACAGTATGAAGCTCATTATACTAACCGTGAGAGAAACATGTTTTGATGCTTCTCAAACTGGGGTCCCTGGACTCCCGGGGGTCCACAAGCTTGTGCTTGGGGGTCCGCAAAAAAAGCCAAACAAACAAACAAACAATATATATATATACTAGTCCCTCGCTATATCGCGGATTTTCAAAATAAGATTGGAGATGACACAAGTGGCTGATTGATGAGCCAGGTGTTGTTTATTTAAAATAAATTATGTTAAAGGATTTTGCACCATGTGTGCAACCCACAAGTGCAAGAGAAGCTCCCTCTTGCAGCTGATCAGCTGATCTCCTTCTCTGCCACTGCTGCATCGGCTTTGTGAAGGGTTAACCCTCTGCTGTCCAGATGCACCGATCGACTTTTGTTTTCAAACTTAAAATTTAAAGTATGTCACATAATAAAAATCAATATAATCACAAAATATAAAAGTGTTAAAAGTTATTTTTGATTATTTTAGAACTTCTGTGTTCGGTTGTTGAAGCGTAATTGATCAAGAATTACATTTCTGCTCCGTGCTGCAGAGCTGAATCTGTGTGACATCCACTTCCTGCTGCACTTCTCTTTTCTACAATTTAAATATAAATATGGTAATACTTTAAATAAACAGTCCATGCTGCATGGGTTGTTTATTTAAAATGTTACAGTATTTAAATTTAAATTGTGTATTTAAGGAGGGCGATTGGGAGTAACAGGTGATGAGTGTAATTGCAGCCTAGCACATGTATGGTATGGTATAAAGTTTATTCATTTTAAAAAGCACAAAACAATTCCATAACAATATAAAAAAGATACAAAAGATTTAAAATGAAAGGCAGCAGAAAGAAGAAAAAATCTTATTATATCTGCCCCTTTTTTTCAAACAATTATTTCAATCATAATAATTTTCAAGTAACAGAACAAAATGAATAACTCTTTCTAATTTTTCTAATTCTAATACAAAAAACACACTAAGCTACTTCATATATACTTTTTTAACAATTAAGCTTTGATCTTTTTCTTAAATGTGCACATTGACTTGGCATTTTTCACATCACTCTCTAGAACATTCCACAATCCAACTCCTTGGATTGAGGTAGACCTTCCCTTCAGACTAGTTCTGAATTTTGGTTTGACAAATATCTCTATCCCCTTGAGATTATAACAACTTTGTCTTTTAACAAAATTTATTTGGATATTTAATGGTAATGTGTTATTTTGAGCCCTATACATAACTGATAAAATATTATAATCTACCAAATCATGGAACTTCAATAAGTTCAGTTGATAAAATAATGTGCTTGATGGGTGACTGTAATGCTTTCTGGTGATAATTCTTACAGCTCTTTTCTGTAAAATAAAAATAGGTTTTGTAAATGTTTTACACGCTTTCCCCCAAACATCAATGCAATAGATTAAATGTGGAACAATGATTGTGTTATACAACATGTACGGAGCTTTATCGTTTAATAATTCCCTGACTTTGTATAGTACTGCAATAGATTTAGATATTTTTGTTCTTACAGAATTTATGTGATTTTTCCATGTTAGCTGTTCATCAATGATTACACCCAAACATTTCATCTCATTAACTCTACAAATCTCAACACCCTCAATTTTAAATGGATCGTCAACAGTTCTCTTTTTGTTACTAAATATCATGTATTTAGTTTTATCTAAATTTAATGATAATTTATTAAGTTTAAACCAAGTTTGTATTTTATCAAATTCTGTCTTCATCAATTCCAACATCCGTTTTACATCTTTACCCAAACAGAAAAATGTGGTGTCATCTGCAAAAAGGACACATTTGAGGAGTCCTGATACATTCACTAAGTCATTCACATTGTAATGATTGCAGTGTACCCAGAATGAAAGATCAGGACCGAACAGATACCAGGACTCATATAATAGTTTAAAGTGTTTATTTACAGGTTGGTGATATATACAATATGAATGAGGGGAACGGGAACACCTGGAGAGAGAGCGATGATTTAAAGGGCTGCGGTTGAATGGAAATATATCTTGTAGATTTATTCTTACAGTGTGAAGCAGGAGAAGGTATTATCCAGATGGTGTCCAGTGGCACAAGGTGAAGCAATGAGTAGATTGAGGCAAGTGGTGGAAGGCATCCAGCAATTGTAGCTAGGCAGGAGGAGTCACAATTCATGTGGAACTCAGGCAGGGCAGGTACAGCAAGATCCAAAAACTCTGAGGAAGCGCAGAGGAAAAAACACAATATTAGTCTTTACTAATATCACTGAGAACTGGCCAGAACACAACTACCGTTGGTAGGCAATGTCCCAGCGCCTGCAGAGTGGTTCCTGAATCTTCTTATACTCCTCCTGGGTGTTGAGCTGATCATCTGCAGCTGGAGCCAATTAGGAGTGATGAGGAGAGAGAAAGGCAGGGTGCAGGGCAGGATCCTTACACACATATAAAATAAATAACTTTGGTCTAAGTACAGAGCCTTGAGGAACTCCACAAATGATATTGCACAGGTCAGATCTTACACCATCTATTTGAACAAACTGTTTCCTATCTTTTAAATAGCTAGATACCCAGTGTAATGCTGGTCCTCTTATACCATATTTATTTAATTTTTCAAGGAGAATAGTGTGGTCAATAGTATCGAATGCTTTTTTTAAATCAACAAAAATACTAACACAATACTGTTTTTGATCGACAGCAGTAGTTATTTGTTCTATTAATTCCATGTCATGACAAAGTTTACTGAACTTGGACTACTGTATCCCTACTTTGTGGTTTTTCACTTATTGTGGGTGGGCGTGGTCCCAAACACCCACAATAAATGAGGGACACTATATATATATATATATATATATATATATATATATAATTTATTTTGTACAAGCACGTAAATGTTTAACAACCTGTTAAATTAGACCAAAATGCAGGAAATCACTTTTACTTTATTCAAAATTTTCTGGGGGAGGACCCCCAGACCCCCCACACTGGCCCGCCAGCATTTACGTTCCAGCATAGATCGGTTTACAAATTAAACCCTGTTACTGTACGACCACTGCTGTTAAGATTCTTTTCAGTTTTCTGTAATAATTTGAAAAAGTGGCGATACATTTATTATGTTCATTATGTGAATAGCTAAAGTTTTAAAGTGGTTTTTGATGCTGTTAATTTTGTCAAAACTGTAATTTTTGGAAGTTGAAATTTATTTTTTTGTTAATTGTGTCTTGAATGAAAAATAGGCCATGTTTAAAAGTATAGAAATTGTATCAACAGTATTAAAAAACAACTTTTAAGTATTTATATTACACAATTATTTATATTGCATTAAAGAGACAAATTGAAGAAAATTATTTCATAAACGTGAGGGTTATGAGGGGGTCCCTGAACCCAAAAAGTTTGAGAACCTCTGTTTAGTGTGTAAGCAACCATGAAACTGTGATACGTGTTTGTTTTATGTGAGTAAACTAACAAAATGTTCTCATCATTATCTCATTAATCAGATTCATCCATGTGTCTGCAGGTGCAGCGGGTCAGAACACTCAGTATCTGATTGGATCAACTTGTGCTTTTGGAGGATCGACCGTCACCCTGCCCTGCAGCTTCACTCCAAGTAGCTATTTCATTGAGGGAGGACAAAAAATTCCCCTGAAGATCGTCAGAGTCGTCTGGTGTAAAAACCATCTGATCTGTCACGGTTCAACCCCGTCTGTGTATGACAGTAACTTAACAACCAACGACCCTCGATACGAGTACCTGGGAGACAAGCAGAGAAACTGCACCTTACAGATCAAAAGTGTTGCTTCATCCGATGATGCGACCTTTCGCTTCAGGATGGAAGCCAATAACTCTGAAGGACATTTTACAAACCAAACAGGAGTGAACGTCATGGTTGTTGGTGAGAACAACACGTCTCGTTCTGACTCGCACATTAATCAGAAACATTGACGAGTTTTAATCAAAACTAACAAATGTTTTTATTTCAGGCGGGACACAGATGAGAATAATGAGCTCCAGTGGCGTCACAGAGTTCAGAAGTGGCCAGTCAGTCTCACTGCAGTGCAGGTCAGTCTGCTCTTTCTACCACCTGGAGATCACCTGGATGAGAGATGGCCACGCCCTCTCAGAGACTGGCCCCGCCCTACAACTTAGCTCTCTGACCACAAAGGACTCTGGGAACTACACCTGTGCGCTGAAGACCAACATCGGGACCCAGTCGGTGCCGATCAGGCTGCAGGTGGAGGAGGGTTGGTTCAGATTTTATTCTGTGACTTTTTCAGAAAGTTTTCATTTTTGTTTTAAGATTTCAGCGTCACGCAGACTCTGCACCGCGGAGATGACATGTGGAGGAGGTGATGAAGATCATGTCCAGTTAGCAACATGTCTGGTGCTGCTCATGGAGGCCACAGGTCCAGGAGGAAAACTCTGACCTCCCTCTCCCCAGAAACACCCCAGCTCCTCCACCAGAGAGGTGATATAATCCCTGCAGAGCTCTGGGTCTGTGTCAGGGTCTCCTCCCAGGAGGATCTGAAGGATCATAATCAGATGAACATCCTCACCTTTCTATGAGGAGGAGCAGTGTTGGAGCTCCTCCTCCTCTTCTTATCTCCAAGGCTGACTGCAGCCAGCCTACAGAGGAGACTCATTTCAGCCTCTTGGATCCAGGATCTGCTCAAGACCTCAGAACACTGGTGAAGGTTGAACCAGTGAATCCAGATCTTTGTCTTTCAGCTCAGCTCCTTCTTCACCACCACAACCCGGAGCAACGTCCTTAGACAAGGCCCTGATCTGTAGGTCCAGCTCCTGCTCCATCCTGCCCTCCCATCCAGACACCTGAAGCCCTCCACTAGAGGCAGAGACCCAGAGGGAGTGTTCCACCTTCTACAGGTTCAGAACCATAACCTCAAACTGAGAGGAGTTCAATCTGTGGACGCTGAAGGTCATGACCTGAAGACGTCAACACCACATCATCTACAGAATCTGAGCTCTGAGAATCCAGAACCAGACCCCTTTTCTTTACCACTTCACCTTGTGTTCATGGACCAGATCTCAAGGTGCAGTTGGACCTGACCAGGAACCAGGAACCAGCTCGATTTTATTCCTGCTCAGGGTCTGAAGGAGAGCTCATCAAAGTAAAGCTCTTTGTTTCCACGTTCTTCAAACAACAGTAAATAAAGTCTCTCATTCCTCCATGATCAGGGCTTCTAACTTGACCCAGGTGAATTGTGTGCAGCATGACCCGGTTCTGTCAGGCGGATTTAAACGGGTCTTTATTGGGATTCTCTTGTTGGACAAGTCTCGATTTAGCCCGACTTGTAATCTGATGAACACAAAGACATTTTGTAAGGATGGATGTAGAAAAGCAGAAATACTGAAAGTCTATTTTATCAGAGAGGGAACAGCGAGGACCGGGTCGGTTCTGCAGAACTTCCTCTCACAGACCGACGGGGAACATCACATAAAGTCTCAGATTTTTTAATGAATCTGTTTTCACAGGTCCACCCTTGGACCTGTTTCTGATCCTGGGTGCAGTGTTTGGTTTCCTGCTGGTTCTGATCATCTTGGTTCTGGTCTTCATCCTCATCAAAAGGTACCAGATCTGAATGTTTATGACGCATTCACATTGAGATCCATTTTTCTTCCATACATTTTTCTGCATCTTTCTCGTTCCACAATTTTTGTGCTATTTCAACAAATCATAAATCAAAACGTTCGGCTCTTTCAGGACAATCCTGCTATGGCTTTTGGTATTGGTGCAACTTTAGCTTTTTGAAATATTTAGCCTTTTCTGACACTATTTTCATCATAAAAAATGAACTGAGCTCATTTTACTTCCTTCAAATCTTTAGATCTGTTTACAAACTTTTACTGCTTCTTTCACATTTTTTCTGCTTCAGCTTCTTTCAGCTTCCTTGTGCAAATTTTAACTTTTTTCAGCTACTTTTAGCTGTTTTTCAGCTGTTTTGGGCTCCTTTTAAATTCTATCTGCTAACTAGAAGATTTCTGTGCTTCTTCTAACTTATTTCTGCTAATTTCAGCTTGTTCTGTTCCTTTCAGCTTATTTGTGCAAGTTTGTGCTATTTCAGCTACTATTTAGCTGTTTTGCTAATTTGAGCTTTTTCAGCTAATGACACTTTTTTTTGCAGTCATTTAAACTTCTTTCAGCCTAATTCAGCAAAAATGTGCTCTCTCCACTTCCTTCTGCTAATTTAAGCTTCTTTCTGTTTTTTTTTTTAAATCTTTCAACTGTTTTTTCTAATTCTTTGTGGGGATTCGGATAATTTCAACTTTTTTATGCTTGTTTCCGTTTCTGTCAGCCTAATTGGATAAAATTGTGCTCGCTCCACTTCCTTCTGCTAATTTAAGCTTGTTTTAGCTTTTGCAACTAGCCTTTTTTTGTTGCATTTTTTAAACTAACTTCAGCTATTTTCAGATAAATTCAAGTTTTTTGTGATCATTTCTGCTAGTTTCAGGCTCATTAACTTCTTTCTGATAATTTTAGTTTTTTTATGCTCCTTTCAGGTTGTTTCTGCTAATTTGGCTACTATTTACCCCTTTTCCTTGTAAATTTAGCCTTTTCTGCTAATTCCACTTTTTTTTTTTTTTTGGGCTTCATTCTGCCTTTTCAGCTCCTTTTCAGCCATTTCTTTGCTAATTTCAGCCTTTTTTAAAGCTAATTTCCTAATGTTTGTGCTAATTTCTGCCTTAAACCTAATTCAGCAAATATGTGTTCTTTCTGCTTTCTTCTGCTAACTTAGGCTTGTTCATCCATTTCAGCTACTTTTCGGCATGTTTTTAGCTAATTTTGACTGTTTGCTGTTTTTAGCAAGTTCTTCAACAATAAGCATTCACACTGCATTTTTGCAGGAAATGCATTTTCTCAAGTTATGATGTAAACGGTAAACAGAGTTATGTCTTTAATACTGTTTTTAATTCATTTTCTCAGGTTGTGAGAACAAACAAGAAGTTCTGATAAAAAGATTTTAACAGATTTTTGTGTTTCATGATGCAAAGTTTTCCAACTTGTAAAGAATCCTTTTTCTGTTCTGAGATAAACGATTTCTAACTTTGTAACCAAGAAAGAGGAAGAAAAAAAAAATATATATA